CATGGTAGAGACTCACTTCTGTACATTCTGGACAGCGTCAAAACTTTGTAAAACAGCGAGAGCCAATTTGCATTGTTTTGTCGTGTGCAATTGTAAAAGCCTTTACTCACTGACAAGTGCATTTAAAACTGTAGTGCAATTTGTTGCGTGGCTGAGAACTGCCCCCTTTTCCCCAGGGGGCAAATTACACTTGTAAACAAGAAAGTGAGCCAGGCATCCAGATGCCATAGGACCAACCAAGGGAGGCTGGCTGCACGCGCAAGTGCTCCTTATCTCTTGCATTTCCTGAAGAAGCAGAATTGTCCTTTAAGGCTAGGAGGCAAGGGCCATACCTCCAGCAAACTGTGGGACACAAGTGTGCTCTGACTTTAAAGAGCTACTGACCTTTTCAGATTAGAAGAGAGGCAGAGCTATGAATACAACAACCATACCGCAACAGGGACTCCAGTGAAGCACAACAGCAGCTCACACAAAGCCCTCTGTCCCTTCCACCAGTGGAGAGTGACGATAGCCACTTATCCCCTGAATAAGGCAGCTAATAAAAGTACTTGGTGACAACTAATGGCTGGAACTAATGGCTGGCAGGTAATTTGGAACCAATATGTGAAATACTGTGATGCTGCACACACCACCAGCTCATGGATGTTAGCCTTGCACAAATCCTTGCCCCACTAACCCCAGCTTTAGCACTAAAAGCTCAGACACCCACTTCAGCCCCTATACCCTGGGAAAGGATCTCTACCAACCGCCTCTTTATCTCAGATCCCTGTTAACCATCGGGAACTTCAGACCCAGGAGCTTTACTCCCTAGGCCACACAGCTCACTGGCCCAGCTTCACACCCCAAATATTTTTGCATGGCTGGAATGCACTCTTGAACTCTCATAACGCTTCTTTATTGTCTGGATGGAGAACAGAGACGAGTGGGGGAGTGCATGCAGAAACCAACCTAATGTACAAAGTGGGTGCTACTCCATCCACTTGTCCTTCTGGCCCCACCCACCACGAGCATGTGGCCTTTGGAAAGTTTACCAGAAGGGAATGTAGTCCTTAGGTGGAAAAAAGGTGCTCCCCACTCCTTTGTTCCATTGCCTTCACATGGGTCCCCCCTCCCTCTCTACCAGCACAGTGTGTAAACCAAAATTACTCTTCCACTCAGATGCCAGTTAATTGCATCATGTCTGAAATTTCTATGACTGCCCAGCACGAGAATACTCGTAAATGATCCATGACATCGCAAGAACTCAGTCAGTAGCCAAGGGGGAGACTTGCAGGCAAATGAAATGTTCAACCTCCTTTATGTATGTGAGACAAGTGTTTTCGTTTCTCACTCCAGCTCAGAGATAAAATAATGTAGCCAATATCTAAGTAAAGTCTCCCATTTGGCCTCCATGATTTTGCTAAGCTTCCACAAGACTCCTCCTGTTTCCATTATCACTTATAAATTGCAGTACTGAGCTACTCCAGCCAAAACCTATGCAAAAGGGAAGATGAATGGCACCAGACCGCATGAACTAGTTTGATTTTTCTAACCTGTTAACTAGCACTTTTATATTCCAATTCTTATTATAAGAGAAATAGATGTATTTCCCTACAGTCCACCACTGCTTTAAATTCTCCTCGTCACATAGTAATTAAAATATTTTGGGAATTGTTATGGTTGAGGAAAAGTAAAACAAGCGCAGTAAATTAATTAATTAAACGAAAGACACAGAAGCATTCTGCCGGCCAAGAGCTGGCAATTCTAACCTGAAGCACAAAGCAGAAAACAAAGTAGCACCTTGGGATGCACTGGCTAGAATAATGTTTTATGTAACAGGAGTTAATCCCTATGAGTCAGAAATTAACAGCTCAAGCCGGGAAAACATGTTTTAGAGATGAACAATAATGATGCTGTAAGGAGACAATGCTATGGTGAGAAAACGCACATCAATAAGACAGTGATTTTGACTAATTAAAGAGTTTTGTATGCACTGACACACTGATTGAAATTAACCTTTGTATGTCTTTCAGTGCTGGTGCAAGATTTAGCAAGGTCTAACACAGGTAGGGGGAACATCATTCAGCCCAAAGGTCCTATTTCATTTTGGTCAACTTTTCATAGAACCATTGAACTGTAGATTTAGAAGGGACCCCGAGGGTCATCTAGTCCAACTTCCTGCAATGCAGGAATCTCAACTAAAGCATCCATGACAGACCAAAGGTTAAAAAAGTGAGAAGAGCAACAGAGATGGGAAATTTTACCTCCATGCAATAGTTTCTGCACACACTCATACACCCCTCTATATCCTCCATCCGGGCAAGCGTGAATCATTATTAGAGTTCAAAGACACATTCGAGCCAAGCAAAACCATTCAAGGAAGGTGCAAAGCAGGGCTGACAAGGGATGTGGCCAGGCAAAAAGGTGTGTGGCTAGGTGTGGCTGAGACATTTGGCCCACAAGCCTGAGGTTCCATCTCCTTGGTTTAATATATACTGCAACACATACTATTATATAATAGGAGGCTATACAGGACAGCCTTGCAAATAAGTACTAGCCTGCATTTTTCTTTGCCAACCTGTTAGATGGATGATGGAATGGGGTGGGAGGTTGGAGAATTCCACCTACAGCAGCGTGATGCATGCATTTGCTAGGTGTGAAATGGAAGAGGGGCAGGGGGTTCTCCTTTGGCAGAGTGCTTGGTTTCCTTGCTGGGTGCCATGAAGAGGCAGAACATTCCATTCCCCCCACAACCAGCAACAGCAGCCTGCTCCCTCACCTACATGTAACCTTCTCACCAGTGGCTACCAGGTTACACACGTGCACACCTATGTTTCTAGATGCTACTGGTAGTCCCCTGGCCTGCCAAATCTAAGCTTGACAAGGCAGTGGAACACCCACAGAGCTTTATTCAAGTTCCAAGCTGCCATCTCTTTGTCACTCCAACATGATCAAGAAATGAAACTTATGGCAGAACCTATACAGATGAAGAGGCAGGCTCAATCCCCAGTGCATGAATTCAACAGCACAAAATAAACTAGAAAGGAGTCTCCTTTGTCTCCTTTGCTTTCTTTGTTAACCGCTCATTGTCATTTTCCACTCACTCTCTTTCTGTATACAACAGCACTTGCATTCCTCTTTTTCTGCTTTACTACACAACTGTAGTCACATGCCCTCTTCTTTTTCTGTCTACCTACCCGCGGGAGTTACTACAGGTTTATTCCTAAATTATCTCTGTTCCCACCCCTCCTACACAAGGGAGATGGGGAGTACAGAAAAACACATGCAGCAATCTGCACAGTGATCTGGAGCTGATTCATTTCTAGCATGCCTGGAACTGATTGATTGATTGATTGATCGATTGATTGATTGATTGATTGAGTTTATATACTACCCTATACCCAGAGGTCTCAAGGCAGTTCACAGAAGAAAATCAAAACCACAAAATACATAATCAAAATATCGTGGTACCTCAGTTCACGAACACCTCTGTTGTCGTATGTTTCAGTTCTCGAATGCCGAAAACCCAGAAGTAAATGCTTCTGTTTTCAAACATTTTTTGGAACTCAAAGGTGTGACGCGGCTTCCGCTGAGTCCAAGAAGCTCTTGCAACCAATGGGAAGCTGCACATCAGTTTTTGATCGTTTCGGAAGCCAAACAGGCTTCCGGAATAGATTCCGAGGTACCACTGTAAAAACAACAACCCAATAGCCACCCTCCCCCAAGCAAAAAATACCACCACGTTTTGAATTCTCTTTGCACTTTGTACACATTCTAAAGTTGGCAAGACTCAGAATTAAAATGTCTTTGTAATTTTTGGAACCGAGTGTGCCCATTGTTGCTGTACTTCGGAATGGACCCATCAGTCTACTTCTGGTCAGCATCAATTTCGCATGAGTTCACTGGTAAATCCATTCTGTCTTCATTTCATGTATTAAGTTATCTGTGTGCATGTTCTGAAACATTTTATCCAGTGTGCACATTTCAGAACATTATATATATATATGCACTTTTTCACCTTACACTTTGGAATTCCCTGCCTATTGAGATCAAGCAGGTACCTTCACTTTACTCTTTATGGAACCTGCTAAAAACATTTCTACTTAGACAAGACATCTCAGATGCTTAGAAAGTTTAGGTTTTAGTATGTTAACTGTCATATGTTTTAAAGTAGGGTTGTCTGTTTTTTTCTTGATTTTATGGTTTTATCTTCTGCAAACCGCTTTGAGGTTTTTTATAAGCAAGTGGTGCATAAATTTTTATGAAATTAAATAAACAAATCAGGATTTCTGTAATTCTCACTGAGACCTAGACGAAAAGCAGGTTATGCATTTTCTTAATTAATCAATATATAAACCTTAGAATTCAATCAAGTATGCCTAGCTTTAGCTCACTCCAACCATACTTGCATATAAGTGTAAGCATGTGGGAGTGTTACTGATAATATTATTATGGTCCTAATCCTGTATTCAATTAGTAAATATTATTCAGTATTTTCTGCTCCAGTATTGCTGAAGTTACAGCTGTTGATACCACCCATTAACACTTTCTTGGTTAACACATCACATTAAGCCAAAGTTGTTGCTATTGCTGTTTTAATGCCTTAATGTGAACATGCAATGCTGGTGAACACACGGCTCAGAAGTTCTTGCCGAGTTCCTCCCTGGCTCCTGCTGCTGCCACACCGACAGGAAACAAGCCAGAGTGTGGCTTGTCATGCCCTCAAACCCGAGTTGTAGTTTCTTTTTCTCGAAACAAACCATGATCCCAGGTTCAGATGTTGTGAGGGGACACTCTCTGGCTTGTTTCCCAGCAACTAGAAGGAAGAACACAGTGAGAACTTTAGAGCAGTGTGTACTAGTGAACTGCATGTTCACATTATGCATAGTTTCTTTAACTATGGTTTAGTGTAACATGCGAAGTGGGCCACCAGGAACATAGGAAGCTGCCTCATATTGAGCTGGACCATCTAGCTCATTGGCTCTCCAGGGTTCCAGGCAGGGAAGCTGCCTAGCCTTACCTGGAGAAGCTGCAGATTGAACTTGAGACTTTCTGCCTGAAAAGCAGATGCTCTACCACTGAGCTACAGCCCTTCCCTTACAGCAGAACAACATTTATTGTGTAACCCTGGGACAACATTTCCTCACCAACGGTGCTGGTGGTCATAATAAACATCGTCACCCGAATTCTGTAGTCAGAGCTTGGTAAGGTAAACAGTGAGCTAATTCTAGTGGCACGTCAGCTGTTTTTAAAAACTACAGTGACAAAAATGTTCCTTTATAGAGCTCTGACATCACAGGAGCTAAATATAAAGAAGGGGAAATTCCCATACTCCCACACCTTCTGTTGACCTTTTGGCTGGTAATTGCTTGTTAGCTTATCATTTACAGCTGAATAATTAGTATTTATTTCTTAGGTAATTCTGTTGGGGGGGGGAGGAAATAGGCGTGTATATTCTTATTTGCAGGGATGTTGGCATTTTTAACAAAGAACAGTTAATCAACTCTCTTTAATCATGCACACAACTAGGACTGTCAAAGAGTGTAAAGGGGTAGTTGTCACCAACATGTGGATGGCAGCTGGAGGAGGAGAAGACAAAGGGTGCAGAAAAAGCTGTGAGCATAGCAGCCTCTCCCCCATACTTTGTACCCTCTGGAAAACTCAACAAACCTTCTGCACCTGGAACTGGGTGTGGAAACAGCTGTGGGCAAGTGCCTGAGGAAGTACCATCCACTTTGGGCCTGCCCATAAAAAGCAAGCCTAGTGTGAGAGACTAGAGTTATGTCTCCTGTTTCCAGGAACTCTTCTTGCTGTGAAACTTCTGTGGTTGAGCTGAGTTTGCTTGGACCCTGGGTAAGAACCCAGAGACTGAGATGGAGGTTGTGTCAGAAGGAAATGGACTGAAAAGGAATTTTATATATTAGTAACTTTGCATTGTTATATGTAACTGTGTATTTTTGTTATATTTTTGTTTGAGCTGTCTGTTGTTGCTTCAGGTTTCTGTACACTCCTTAGAGATATTTTAAATCTATTAAGTGGTATGGGAATTAAATAAATAAATCAAGTCATATGGCAATCAACTCTGTCTCCATTCATCTGACTTGGAAGAGGCAGTTGAGGTACTGGACAGGTGCTTGGAGGCACATAAAGATCTGATGTGGACAGATGAATGGAAGCTGAGCCCTGAAAAGGCGAACGTGTTATGTGTTCCAAGTTCTTGTGCCCAGGAAGAGGGAAGACAGTGTGCTATGCATGGGGTTTCACACAGCCCTGCCCAGGAGGAGCAGGTCTGAAGCTTGGGGTCACTGGAGACTCAGGTGGCCTTGATGACTATGAGTGCCTATTCTGAGCGAAGGATGGTTTGTCAACAACTTTAGTAACTCCTAGACTGGATTATCGCAGTGCCGTCTATGTGGTGCTGCACTTGAAGAGGCCTCTTAAACTTCCAGAGGTCCAAAAAGCAGCAACCAGCCGACTAGCTGGGGTACAATTTGGAACTTACCAAACCTCTTTTTTAAAAATGGCAGCACTGGTTGCCAGTTCGTTTGAATCCAAATCAGGGTGCTCCTTCCCCACAGACTCTATTGGACACAAAAATTGTCAGAGGGTATCCCCCTGGTAGTACCACCACCCTTAGAACTTTGGGTATCAGTAGTCCAGGAGAGGGCATTTTTGTGTAATGTCCTCCTCAGAGAGGTGTGTCTGACATCATCATCGTGTAGTTTTTCTCTGTACACTGAGGAGGTACCTCTTTAACCTGGCTTTTGATATATTATTAAAGGGTCTAACCTGTTCCCTGATCTTAAGCTGCTTATAAATTGTGGTAACCTGCCCTGAGGCCTCATGATGATTGATTAGATTCTTACCTGCCCTTCACAATCTCTTTCCTATACACTGTGGGAGAGGAGTCATGTCCTAAAACAGGGATGAGGAATCTGGTTTTCCAAATGTTATTAACCTACAAGTCCCATTGGCCCTATCAAGCATGGTAAATGGAATGAGGGGATCTGTGCTCCAACATCTGGAGGGCCATAGTTTCCTCACCTTATAAGATATTTATAGGCCAAGTAGATTGATATATTAAGCACTGCCTCTAAGAACCCATTCATATGATTAATCTGGCATAGTATGCCTGTGGGTTTAAGATGTTTCTGGGATATACTGAAAAGTTATGTGTGCCAGCTCAGGACCCAACCTATATTTACCATACTAGTGGCCAATACACTTTCAGCAGCTGGTCAGTAAACACAGGCTAGGGGGTGAACTGAGTGTGGTGAAAGAGTTGCACAAATGGTCCCACCACACAAAAACTAAGCTTGGTTTTTGCTCAGCCCATGTTCAAACCACACCAATTAGACAGTGTCACATGAACAAGTCCAAAGCCACATCAGTGGCTCTGAAAACAGAAATAGAAAGGTGGATGAATTAATTCTGAATAAATCTTTATGTTCCCAGGGAATCCCTGGGTGTGAACAGACAAGAGTGGACTACTTATTTCCAAAGACTTCCTGCCAAAAGACTTAGCACTGAACGCCTATTCACCTTTGTTTACAATCCTCGGGTACTACTGGCTAACAGCAGCTGCAGAATATGGACTGATTACTATCTTTGGAGCCAAGGAAATTATGAACAGCACAAGATGTGACAAAACACTCTAATTATTCTGTCTTCCATACAAAAGCCTAATAACAAATACACACAATCAGCTTTCCCAAAGACTAGCCCAGGTTTACTTCACAGACTAGGAAACAGCAGAAAGCATGTCACATGCTACCGACCTTCCCCAAGGGCCAGATCCCTATGCTAATACTTATCTAGATATTTAAAATATTTCTAATCTACTGTTCAGGTCACATTGTCCTTGCAAGGCATTTCACAAAAAGTTTTAAAAACAAGTAACATAATAAAAACAGGCCTCTGTCTAAACAGGTGATAAAGATGACAACATGCATGATTGGTTTGAAGGGCTGACTCCCAAATAAGGCCCTCAATTGAAAGAAAAGTTGGGTATGATAGTGTAAACTGGTTCCAACTACACCAAGTTATTTACTTTAGCTTAAACCCAGATCTCAGTGGCTACCACAGGAATCGGGCTATTAGATCTTTATCAAGGTTTGAGCAGCTGATGATTGTGATATTTATAAAATCTTGATAGGATTTGTAGGCAATGGGATCAACCCAAAGCTTAAAAGAATCATAGGAACAGTGTTTCATGAAATAAGAGAAGAAAGGAAGTGGAAAGTACTGGGTATGAAAAACCATTATATTCAGTCTCAGCAAAAATATGGGAAAATTCCCTGAAAGCTACTCTCTGCTGGTATATGACCTCAACCACCCTTCGTCATATTTTTATGGTGCTTAACATCACCTAAGTGTTGGAGGGAATGTGAGGCATGGGGACATATTTCCTTATGTGGTGGGAATGCACTCTTCAAGGAGCTGGGATTGGCTGCAGCTCTTTACCAAGCATGAACACGCAGTGGCAAACCTGGATTTACTATTTTATAACGTGTGTGAAACGTCCCCTCATTTTATCTTTAGGAAGCTGCCTTATACCAAGTCACACTATTGGTCCATCTAGCTCAGAACTGTCCACACTGACCATCAGCAGCTTTTCAGGGTTTCAGGCAAGGGTCTCACGCAACTTTACTTGGCGCTTTCATGGACTGAACCTGGGACCTTCTGCTTGCAAGCAAACCCAGGAAAAACAAAAATGTGATGGGTTACGTTTGAATTTCAGACAAAATAATTGCCAAACAGCATTTAAGGGCCACTTGTGTAGATGACCTCAAGACCTTACTCCATGTGCCATGTGAATGATCTGGAATAAATAGCTGCCAACCACAAGGCCACCACCTGGATGAGGCTCAGCAGGTCTGGCAAGTACTTCGATGGGTGAACACCTGGGAACTGCACTTGTGCAGCCCCCGATTCCATAACAGAAGAAAGTCAGCATAGAAATGTAAGAAAACACAGACATAATGCGTATTCCTCTCTTCACCCTACGTAGGTACTGAGAAGAGGTAAATGAAGCCTGAGGCCCCTCGCTTGCCCCACCACCTGCATGCACGTGAGGGAGACTCTCCTCAGGTAAGCGCGCTTTCGATAGCAGGCGCGGCGGCTTTTGCCTTCCGCTCGCCGGAAGGAAGCTCGCCTGCCGACTCACCCGCGTTGTAGAAGCGGTCGAGCACCGCCGTCTCGCCGAAGTCCAGCTTGCCGAAGTGCAGCGTCTGCAGGTCGGCGCCCACCGCCTCGCACGCTTCCCTCAGGCTCTGCAGGGCCCCGCTCTCCGCCGCCTGCAGCAGCCCCGGACTCGCCTCGTTGATCACGTAAGACACCGTGGTGCTCCTGTTGCTGTGGCCGCCGCCGCCGCTGTTGTTTTTGGCCCGGGCCGCCGTGTCGCTGGCGGGGCAGACGGAGCTGCTGTCCTCATTCCAAAAGGTGCCTGGCGGCGGCGCGCCTGGGCCGCCCAGGAAACCCCGGCCCGCCGTCCCCTCGCCTGCCGCCGGCGCTCTCCTGGCGAGCCCATCCTCGTAGAGCAGCGGGCAGCCGCCGCCAAGAATGCCCGGCGGGCTGGGCACCGAGAAGCTGATGATCCCCGCCTCGCTGGGGTCGCTCATGCCGGCTGCTCCTGTCCCAGCCGCCTCCTTGCCCCGGGACGAGACTTTATGCAGATGCCATGCCACCACCGCCGCCGCCGCCGCCGCCTTTCCCCCTCGACCTGCTTTCTGCAGTTGGCTTGTGCGAGCTGTTGCCGAGCTGGAAACCGGAGCGGGAGGGGAGGAGGGAGAAAAGGAGCCCTTCTTTGATTTCAAGCTGCAGCGGCGAGGGAAACGCGGATTCCTCCGTTGCCCGCCAAAGCCACCATTGCGCACTCCTTTCCTGAGCCCCGCCGGCTCCTCAGGTTGGCGATCGGCTCATCCGGCAGCCCCAGGCGCCTTTGCAAGGGTATTACTGCACGCCAGCCGCCCTCGCTTTCGCAGGTCTTCAGCAAACCCGCCGCCGTTTGTGGGAGCGCGCCTCTCGCCGGTACGCAGCGTCTACCTCGCCCGAGGGGCTTTGCCAACGTGAAAGACCGGGGGAAAGCAAGCGAGCGAGCTCCCAGCCACTTGTTGCATTGCTACTGTGCAAAAGCAGCACCCTGCCCAGGAAAGGCTCCGCCCTCCTACCTTAGCCACGCCCCCTGCCCTGTAGTAGAGAGAGAACTGCGCATTCCTGCGCTTGTAAACATAAGACGAGCGCCAAAGTTTGGTCGAGAGGAATCGTGCGGCGCCTGAACCGAGAAGTGGCTCCTGTATGATAAAGCGCCCTCTGCTGTGCTGCTCCTCTTGTCGACTTTGCTCAAGGTTGCTTTTATGCAAACGGGAGCCCATTAAGAGGCTTCGCTTTACAGTCCCCACTTTCATTTCCTTTTGAAATGCAGAGGCAACTAGTGTTGCAAGATCCTCACCGAGTATAATTTATAAATTTCAGTCCATTTTGATTTTTTTTTGCTGGCATATTCTTCTTCCCTGCCCTTCTCCCCAAGGTCCCAGGGTGGGTTACAGCATTAAAGCACGTGGCATGAACCTTATTCTTGAAATACTAGATGTGAAATCGGATGAAGTTAAGCACATATACGAATTCTTATTCTGTTCTTCATCTGTTCAAATATCTTGCGGGGAGGGGTGTCTTGTTCTCCTGAGAACTGGAAGGTAACAATGAACTGTTCTCTTTGGCAAAGGGTTGTAGCCAAGTGATTGAGCACATGCTTTTCATGCAGAAGATATTCCCTGTCCCAAGCATCTCCACGTAGGGTTCAGGAAGGCCATTGTCTGAAACCCTGGAGAATTACTCTCTGTCTTTGGACTATAATGAGCTAGATAAGCTAATGGCCTTATTGGGTAAGGGAACTAAGTTTCCTATTCTTATTTATTTAGTTATAAATCTTTTATACACATCAAAGCAATCCTAGGGTTGTTTCCACCAAGATGTTTCAACAAATATGTTCCAGGTTTTACTTCCAAGTGTACAGGACTAGGGTGGGTTCTATAGGGCTATAAACATTAAAGGCCAGAGTGATTACTGATTGGTTGATTGCATTTATATCTCACCTTGTTTTTCCAAGAGATCTGGGTAGCATACCGTATTTTTTGCCCCATAGGACGCACTTTTTCCCCTCCAAAAATGAAGGGGAAATGTGTGTGCGTCCTATGGGGCGAATGCAGGCTTTCGCTGAAGCCTGGAGAGCGAGAGGCATCGGTGCGCACCGACCCCTCTCGCTCTCCAGACTTCAGGATGCTATCCGCAAGCCTTGCAAGCCCGGCGGGAGTTCCCGTGGGCTCACAAGGCTTGCGGGCAGCAGCCTGCAGCCCCGGCGAGTGTCCACAAGCCTTGCGCGCCTGGCAGGAGGTCCCACCGAGCGCGCGAGGCTTGGGCCGGCAGCCTGTCGCCCGAAGCACAGGGAGCGAGGCTTGGGGCGGCAGCCTGTCGCCCGAAGCACGGGGAGCGAGGCTTGGGGCGGCAGCCTGTCGCCCGAAGCACAGGGAGACCTCCGGAGGGCTCCCCGTGCTTCGGGCAAGTGTCCCCAAGCCTCGCGCGCCCGGTGGGAGGTCCCGCCGAGCGCGCAAGGCTTGGGGCGGCAGCCTGCAGCCCGAAGCACGCGGAGCCCTCTGGAGGGTTCCCCCGTGCTTCGGGCAGGTGTACGCAAGGCTTGGGGAGGCAGCCGCGGTGGGGGCATAAATTTTTTTTATTCATTTCCCCCCCCAAAAAACAAGGTGCGTCCTATGGGCCGGTGCGCCCTATAGGACGAAAAATACGGTACATGGTTCTCTCCCCTGCTCCTTTAATTCCCACAACTACTGTGTGTGTGTGGTAGGTTAGGCTGAGGTAGATCATGGCCGAGTGGGGATTTGAACCCTCTCCCAATTCCCACTCCAACACTCTAGCAACTATAGCACACAGGTTCTACCCATTGACACATACTCCAGCATGTGCAACAGTGTCCTTCTGCCTAAAGAATGCTTCTTCTTCTTCTTCTTCTAATTATTTTAAAATTGTTACATATAAAAACTAAGCCTATCAAGAATAAACTTTCTGTCCTAACCTCCTTCATATGCTCATTTTCTAGTGCATTTTGCTAGGGGGAACATTCAAAGATACCATCATCCAACCTGTTCCTTGAAACCAAGTTCAGGGACCAATCCCATGCACCCACCAACATGCAGAAATAGCTTCCCTGTCTTCTTTGTGACTCTTTTCTTGCAATAGAACAAGCACTGTTGCTGATACCTCAAGGGGAATAATCCCCTGGCATAGCCATAACAGATGATGTAAGTGCAAATGCAGAACGGGAGACAAACAGACTGGAGGTAGTATGAGTTAAAAGGCTATGGGAAGAAACTTTTCATTTGTTTAATAAATGTAGGCAACATTTGAAGTGACAGGTCTGTTTGACATTCAAGCAAGTTTATTTACAGCTTGTGCCCAAGACCGTACATCTTTGCATTGGCTCAACACTATTAGAAAAAATATAAATAGAAAATACTTTATATGGGATCCACTGTTACACAGTGGTTACAATGTTTGTCTCAACTGGTAAAAGTCAGTATGTTTTGATTTCAATACAACCAATGGTAAAAATGGGAACAGTGGTCAAGTTAAGTTAGACAAAGCTCTTTGCAAAGCAATTGAATAAATAGGGTGAATAGAAAGGGCGGAATCTAGCCACTTTCTCACAGCTTTCATCAAATATAATGTTGCTTACAGTGTGACCCCTCTTAACACCAAAAATGTCAGGGATTTTAATTCTGGTTATGTATAGGATACCTTTTGTGTGGCCCAAAATGGTCAAGGACTGAAGCACATGTTCAAATATGATAATTGGGCAATTGGTGGTTTCTGATTAAATTTTTGTGGCATCTACACCTGTCCACAATTTAATTAACCTATTCATTATATATGGAATGAAAATGTATCTGGAATATCCTGAAATACTGCAAGAGCTCCCACAGCGTGTTTTTCCTAGGGAATTTGCAATTTATAGGGAAAAAGAGCCTGTAGCATCTTAAAAACTAACAAATCTTTGAGCATAAGCATTCATGAATTATATATGTGCTGTAATAAAATTGTCATATCTTTAAAGTGTCACAGCCCTCTGTTGTTTCTATTAAAACAGACTAAAATAGCTCTCAGTCTGGAAGTTTTGGCATTTTATAGAATAGTCCTTGGCTGCCACCTACTGTTCTCTTGAGTGGATCCCCTTTTAGGACACTGTTACATCACATAACAATATAAATTACATTGTTGTTTTTTACACTTAAAATGTTAAGAATCACCATTAACTTTTCAATGACAAGTGTGTTCGTGATTTACAGCCATTTTTCTAGACCAGACAGGAACACTGTAGTATTTACGTAGCCAGGTCTGGAGGGAATAAGACTGTCTTGAAGTAACATAATCAAACTTTTAAAATTAATTGGCCTTATATTATTTGCTTGTGTCTAACACTGTGGACAGTGTTCTCGAAGCTACGAACATGAGTTTGACCAAGCTGCAGGAGGCAGTGGAAGACAGGAGTGCCTGGCGTGCTCTGGTCCATGGGGTCACGAAGAGTCAGACACTACTAAACAACTAAACAACAAAATTTGTATTAAATATATATTAAAGGAAAATGATTGCCCTTCACCTTCAGTTTAAAATTTGGCCCTGGTAATAATTGTTGGCCTAGAATATTTTAGAAGCAGACACAGAGCCCAACTTTGGGGCAAACCTTTAACCCATAATTTATAACAGGGCTGGGGCACATCAAGCCTTGGGGCCAAATGCTGGCCTCCCTTGGGACTTTGACCAGGCCATATCTCCCCCCAAGCCTTGTTTCACATCTTCCTTGAGTGTTTTGGCCTGGCTGGAAAATGTCAACCCTGATGGTACTCTCTGCTTACCTGGATGGTGATAGAAGGGTGTGTGAGTGTGTGTAGAAACTAGTCTACTATATGGAGATAGATTTTATATTAATTACCCCACACACCTTTTCCTCTGGCACTGCAAGCAGCCCCCAGATGGGAATACCACTCATGGATTAAAAAAGGTTCCCTGCCCGTGATGTATAATGTAAACCACCAGCCAATGCTTCTTTATCTGCATGTATTTATCATGTATATGGCTGGATTGGCTGCTTTGCCAGATTATAAACTTAGAATCCTTAGTTTTGAAAAGAACTTTTATATGGGGGCAGAATGTTGGGATACTGCCAGGGAGACAAAGTCCATCATGACTCCACGTCGCCTCCAGACGTCCATCGATCTCCCGTAGATACAGTATCAGCAATTAGCGACACGAGGTCCAGAAATAGCTTGCCACATTCCAGAGCTCATACACGCTCTATCAACAGAATTCACACAGTGAAAGATGCACGCAGGAGAGCATTATTTACAAGTTTATTCAGCGTTGGTCAGAACAAAGAAAACATGACTGCCTGCTTCAGTGTCTCAGGCACAGAGAGAAAACGAAAGCATAGACACAACAGAAACATCCTGTGAACAGGAAATACGCAGGCTGTGACACAAACATCCTGCTCCCTTTTAAGGTGGAACGGAAATATCCTAACACAGAATTCCCTTATTCTGCTTCCACATTCACTCCTCTTTCCCCTCATTATCACCATAAACAACTGCACTTCCAAGACACAGCCTGGAAGAAACACTGCTACTATCTTCCTCAGCAAGTTCTCATCTGTTTGTGATTCAAGAAGTATCACACTGAACCCAATTTAAAAGGATGCACAATTCCTCTTCCTCTGCTCTAGCCTTGCAAAAGCCTCCCACTTCCTCAATGACGCAACCTTTCAAAAGGGAATCAGCCCAGAGAAGACTGAGAGGGAAGGAACTCTCTTCCACATACTCTGCAGCTGTTGCTGCATGCCCCACAAAATCAAGGAGACACACAGAAACTTCTTGAAACACAAACACACACACCAGCAGCTAATCTAGAGGGTGCCAGAAGGGTGGGCAGAGGCCTCCATCTCTTCAGGCATCCAGCACAGCACAGTCTTCCACTCACACTTTTGCTTGGGATTCACCAGGCTTGCTAGAACTGTGGCTGCACTGCTCTTCCCAATGCAATTGGTATCACAATTAGTACTTAACTGAGAAAGGCTGAATTCTTATATCCACATTTAGAAGGCATTTCTATTATACAGAGCCCCTTATCCTTTTCTGATACTTCAAGATTTTTGAGAATTCTCATGTATGGCAACACGGCTGTAAATTTGTAAGTTTCCCCAGGGCTTCTCATTCTGGGATCCTGAAGCCCACAACAGAAACGCCCTTCTTCTCAAACCTTCTTGTTTTCAATGCTGGGACAAGGGTCAACACTGTCTTTGAGAGTCAGTTAATTTACTCCCTTCACTTTTCAGTCTAATTTACTC